AGATATTTTTATTGATAATTTTAAGTGATTTTATTGGTAATTTTATTAATACCGTAAATATTTTTATTACTGTTATGATAACATCTTCTAGGAGATTATTGGCCGGTATAAAAGTAAAAATATAATAATTAGAGGTTCAAATACAAAGATATTCACAAATCAAACTTCTCAGTGTCGCACAATTTTGTTTTTATCGTTTGAGTTTAGAATTTAATTATTAATATAAATATTAATAGCAATCGGTATGATTGACAAAAAAAAATACATTCTAACTTGTTCTAACTTATTATCTTTAAATAGGAAGAACGAGAGAACATACATATATAAGACAAAGTATACTATTATAAGACAGATTAGACATATACACTAGAGTTAGAACCGAGAGGAGAGTCTCAATCAGACGAATTGGAAATTTCGGGTGACTTCCTTCCCCACTATCATGCGCGAAGCAAAGCATGATAGGAGCCTGAGCTAAGAGAATAAAATAAACTCAACGTCACAAATTAGTGATAGATTGCTCAAGAGAGCAATTCGAGATAGATGCAATATTCTTTTTCTTCCATTCACTTAAAAAGAAAATGTCTAATTTTCAACACGCATGAATTCCTATTGTCGATTGGTTGATTGTTTTTTTCAATCGTTAGAAAAACGAGCTTGATCAGTTATATTCATTACATACCTTTTTTTGTGATGACTCAATTATGAGTGATATATTAGCTANATGAGATTGATCAGTCATATTCATTACATACTTTTTTTTGTGATGACTCAATTATGAGTGATATATTAGCTAATTGGCGAATGAAAGTNACGAGCTTGATCAGTTATATTCATTACATACCTTTTTTTGTGATGACTCAATTATGAGTGATATATTAGCTAATTGGCGAATGAAAGTACCAAGTGTGTATGGTAAGTTTTGTACTACACTAGTGAATTAGCAACCTTCGCGCCAAACAAGACAATCCTTGCCAGCTTATGAAAGCAAATCAAATTGCAAATGTCTTCTGTCCTAGATTGTCTCCGTCGTTCTTCCTAACGAGTGTCTAATGGCCATCAATTTATGATTCTATTGACTTGTTGCCATAGTCTACACTTGTTTGCCCAAGTGATCGACCTTGCCATCAAGTTGTGTCCACATACATTTGACCTACACTATAGTAAATTCGTTGGAATATCTTTCTTATATTTTTTCTTTCTATTATCTTTCNTCTCTTGACTTGTTGCCATAGTCTACACTTGTTTGCCCAAGTGATCGACCTTGCCATCAAGTTGTGTCCACATACATTTGACCTATACTATAGTAAATTCGTTGGAATATCTTTCTTATATTTTTTCTTTCTATTATCTTTCAACGTTTGAGATTTTTTTAACATGACCAAAGTATAGAAAATATTTTCTCCCCCGAGGAAACAAGGAAAAAAGAAAGTTTAAGGCCATTACTTTGTCCCTACCAGTGTATTACTATCGGCCTTACCAGACAACATCGACATTCACAAACACAACTTGATAGCTCTCTTCTCTTTGGAAGGGAGATGGCACATGAGAATGAATTTCTTACCCAAACAATAGACATTTAGATTCAAGGAAATGAACTATTGACAAAACTTCGTGAAGCCTTTGAAACTCATATTCATAACTATAAAGTTGAGTTTTAAGAATGTAGACCTCGTTCACAACGGAACTTGTCTCTATTTAAAATAATAGTAANTAAAACTCATATTCATAACTATAAAGTTGAGTTTTAGGAATGTAGACCTCGTTCACAACGGAACTTGTCTCTATTTAGAGTAATAGTAACTTGTGTCAACAACTAACTTCAAAGCTAAATTTATTACAGATGGGTAGTTTGGACTACACTACTTTAGCATTGAATCCAACCAATTGTTTTGATCGATTCTTCCGTTCATTGCCTACCACTATAAATGTGGATGCATTTATGATAGAGCAAAACTTTGATTAGTTTGGAGTCAAGTCAACTCCTCTCCAAGTTGTCATCGAGTTTTATTAAACTTTGATCGCACTCCAATTTTGATCGTGCAAACTTAGAAGGAATTTGGGAACGTGTTATTTGATTCATTACAAATTACATGATAAAAATTGTTCTTTTTGAATTCGGTCACATCAGTTGTTTCAAAATTTATATGGACATTTGTTAATTAAATTCGGTGTAACTTGAAGAAATTGATCTGCATGTATAGACACACAACATTACAGATTTATCTTTCTTTTTTTTTTTTTGGGTAATTTCACGGTATCAAAAATAAATTATTGTATCCTACCTGAGGTTACTATTTTTTTTTAAAAAAGAAAAAGTTACAATTGGTGAGGTAATTAATAATTGATCATGAAATGTTGTGAATAATCATGAATTACCAGAAGGAATTGTAACTTCCACTATGATAAACTAGGTAAAACTCGTGCCTAAAGTTACGATGCAATATGAATAATTTTGAGAGAGATTGTTGGTGATCGTAGGATAAAGTCTATTTGAAACCGTCGAATGAACTTATTGAAGCCTGTTTTTTTATATATTATAGATTATGGATGGATGTTTGGTACTGAATTTTTTTTTTTTTTAGGTACCATAGAAAACTTCTAATATCAATATCTAAAAATTCTAACTTTTTGTCCAATAAAACTTAATGCCTATAATTTTTTTGTGTTATTATTGTTTTTATTTTTATAATCAATTACCGCAAGTCAATCAAATTAAAATTCGTAGTTATAAACTAATTTCGATATGATACAAAAAAAAAAAAAAAATTGTTAGTACTTTAGTCATATCAGATTTGATTATTATCTTTCCTAGAAAAGTAATTTTGTACCTTTTAGAAAAAAAAATTATGGGTATTATATAATAAATTAGGAGTAATCCGTGTCTGAAAGTACGGTACAATGTAAATTACCAATTAATTTGAAAAAGTGATGAGTGATGATCCCATAGAGAGAAAAGATGGTAAAATTCAATATAAATGATTTTGAAAGAGATGTTAGTGGTCGTTGAATGAGTATATTTAAGACCATCAGATGGACTTATTAAAGCATGTCCTATTTTATATTATAATTATAAATTACAACAACTATATTATATATAATTAAATACAATACAATTCAAATCTAAAAAGATAAACAAAATAACTTTTGTTTTTTGCACATAAGATTGTTTCAAATTTTACTTCAAAATTAATTTGACAGCTAATATTAACTCTCATAATTTAATACGAAAATAGGTCCCTAAGGGTATGTTTGAGATGATTTTTCAAAGTATTTTTAGAATTTATGACTTCTCATAAGCATTTTAAAAAAATAATAATGTTTAGAAAATTTTATTTTAATTCATTCCAAATAAGTCAACGTAGTTTTACTACTTAAATAATTAAGTAAAAGTAAAAACAAAAATAACTTCTACTTTAAAATCACTTTTCTAAAAAATATGTTACTATCACTACCGTCGCCACCCCCACCCCACCACCACCACCACCACCACCGGCGCCAGCACCACCATTGTCACCCACTATCAATTGCTACCATTGTCACCATCCTCACCACCACCCACCAGCATAATCATATCATTCTTATATTTATTATCACTACCACCGTCATCCTACCACCACCGTTGCCCACCGCCACCACCCGTCAACACCTGTTACCGCCGCCACTCACTGTCACCCATCCTCACCACACCTACCACTACCATCACCATCCACGATTGATTGCTATTGTCGTCGTCCACAGTCACCATCCACCATCATCATTATTTTATTATTATATTTATTACCATTAGGACCATCATCCTACTACCACCATCAACACTTACCACCATTCGTCATCGCCCATCATTACCCCCAACCATTGTCACCACCCCCACCACACTAGCCACCATCACCCACCATCGCCCACCACGTCGCCACCCACTGTCTACCACCATTGCCATCGCCACCCACTGTTGTCACCTCCATCACCATCACCATCACCATCACCACCGCCACGGTCACCCCACCACTGTCACTATCGTTTGTCATTATCCGTCACACTGTTGTCTAGAAGTATCTATCGTCACCTACCACCACCATTGTCATTGCCCACGACCACCGTTGTCACCTCACTATCACCGCTGCCAATTACAATCACTGTCATTACTCATAACTGTTATTACTATCACTGTTACTCGAAATTCACCACCACCATCACTATTGACACAACCATCACTGCCACCGCTCAATTTCATTACAATCAGTATTTAAATTCATTTCTTTCTTCTTGTAATTTAATTTTAAGAGTCAATATAAATATATTTATTATTAATCATTTTTTTTATTACTCCGTACATTTAAGCACAAACAATAATTAATATACTTATAAAAAAGGTAAATTTTTATACCACATAATTTTAATTTTATTTTAATTTATTTGTCGTCTTAGAATACACCGTAGTATTTGGTATATAAAATCTTGTAATTTTTTTTGATCATGTACATAATATTTGTTAATAAATCATAATCTCAATTGAATCAACTTATGATCCTAAACATTATACGAATGGGTTGGAACCTCACCCGTACATCACACGATTCGTCCATCGACGACTTTTCAAATGAACGCCAAGGTGGGGGCCCAATTGCAAGACAAAGAATTGTAAACCTGTAATACTTACTAACTGCCCCTCTTTTCACCTTCTCATGTAAAGAGAAGGTGAGATTTAAAGAGAAGGTGAGATGGTGATATAATTTATCATTGTATTCTCATTGCTCTTACTGCTAAGCTACCGATGTGGGATCACTGTGTTTCTAATGGCTCACTGAAAAATTAACTTCTATTTTATTTTTGACACTTTGACATATTCTTTTTTATTTTTTTATTTTTTTATTTTTTTATTTTTTATGTATCATAATATTATATATATATATTTAAAAAAAAAAATTCATTTTCGCACTCTTGCTTGTTCTATATGTGATCTACCCTCACCCAACAACTCCCCATGTTAACACGGTTAAAAAAAAACCCAATATCAATCTCTCTCTCTCTCTCCATTTAACACTCTCAGTTTCTCTCCCGACTTAATCCCCAACCACCATTTCCATTGCCTCTCTTAAAAACTTTTCCTTTTATATTCTATACTGACACTATCGTTTTCGGTATGGTATTCCGGATTTGGTAACTCTCTCTCTCTCTCTCTCCACTGTGTTTATACTTATAACGCCGCTGCGGCATTTCTGAACAATAATCCCCTTGTTTGAGTTGAACGAACAGATAATTGGAAGTCGGTGGAGTTTCAGTTCACTACAGCAATGATTTCGAAGAAAATATTCGCTCTACTTCTCTTTGCATTTGTGGTTTTGAATTTCTGCACTGAGTTTAGATCTGTCGCTCAACTTCTGCCTGAAGAAGAAGGTACGCCCCCTAACACGCTCTATATTACTCATTTTGGAAGGATAGTTTTTTTTTGAAAGTTTCGTGTATTTTATTTATTTGTAATTATTACATTGAATGTTTTTCTGTGTTTGTGTTTGTTAATCACGGGTTTGTTTCTGTTCTAGTTGACTTTAATTAATGAAATTCATGTAATTTTCTCAGTAGATTCGATTTTTTCAATGTCGTCAATGAAATTGACTTTACAACTCACTGGAACTCCAGTAATTTTCACAAGAATAATGAAGATTGTTCCCCTTTTTTGTTTATTCAAATTTCAAATGTTCAAAATCTTTTTCAAAGAACCGCTTCTAATCAAAATGATTTGTCAATTGTCATTCATCAAGATTAATACTATTTTTGGTTTTGGTACTCTGCTGATCGGTAAATTGCTTTCGGTTGTAGATTATTTGGTCTGAATTTTGTCAACGTTCAGAATTTTTATTGTTTAATTAAAAACTTTCAAAGTTTGCGGTAGTAATTAAAGTTTGAAGAAACATTAGTCACATGTCTTTTTTATGAAAAAAAAAAAAGTCTACCGTATAAAAAAATATGTACCGTGATTAAATAAGTTTGGTGGGTTATTTATATATTTTTAAGAATTATTTATAAGTTTTGAGGCTAATCTATAATATTTAAAGATCATTTATAACTTTTACAATTATTTATAATTTTTGAGGTTACTTAAGATTTTGTAAATGAACTATAAAAGTTATAATTTAAACCATAAAAGTGTTAATATAGCCTCAAAACTTATATAATTTGAAAAATTCTACTAAATTTTTTTGTTCAATACCATAGGCCACTCCTTGTATGGATATGATATCAGTGTAAGATGGGTCCGATCTGGCCTTTGGTGAACCTTATCTTTTCCTTTGGCGTGATGGGGCCCACCTGATAGGTTGATCAGAGACGGCATTTACTTTGCATGCATTTTCCTGACGCGTTATTCAAGATCCTTCGTAGTTCGAAAAAAAATAAGATTATAAAGTTCCCCTTTACGGAGTTTACGACAAAGATCTTCCAAACTATCCATGAATTATGATCCGACGGATTGAGGTGCAATAGTGACCTACAATCACAGACTCAATAGTTTTGGCCATGTCCTGCCCACCCACCCCACCCCACCCCAAACCCAACCCAAACCCCCAACAAAAAAACAAAAAAAAAAAAAAACTATTGTAGTTTTGTCTTGATGGGCAATAAAATACAGAGAATATGGTTATGTAATTGGATTGAAATTATTGATTTTGATCTTGTGCCCATTAATTACAATTTTGTTTTCGAAATTCATCCATTTGTCACATATTCAACAGAGACAAGAATTGTCTGTTAGGCTTGTCAATGGACCGGATTTCAACCCGGATCTGAGCCGACTTCAAATCTGTTTAAATGGATATGGATTAGATTTTCAATCCATTAATTCGATCCGATTCGAAGTTGATTAAAGTTGTCTAAACGGATTCGGATATGAATTTTTAATAACCCGATCCATTATTAATCTGATCCGAATAAAAAATATATTATATAAATAAATATCACAAATATATTATACTTATATTAGAAAATAAGTAAAAATTGAATGAATATAACAATGTATGACCTACTTTTTTCATTTTTATTTTGTTTCCTTCTCTTGTTTGATTTTTCCTCTTTCTTTTATTTCAATTTTTCATTTTTTGTCCTTTTTTTAGTTCATTATCCAAATTCTTATTGTTAATTTTTTTGTGTACATGTGTTTTATTTTTGATAATCGAATCGGATCGAATTTTTGGATCGGAATCCTAAAATTAATAGATTCAGATATGTACTAAAATTTTCAAATCCGTCAGATAATCGGATCGGCAAAAACTTATTCGAATTCGAATATAGGTCAATCCGGTCCATATCCGATCCGTTGTCTGGCCTATTGCCGGTGATGTTATTCAGATTTTTGAATAGGTTCTTAAACTTTGAGGTTTTTTCCTATATGTCTTATATTTATTTTTGGTTTATATTGTTCAGGTGCAGTGGTTTTATCATGTAGGCACCATTTTAGGTATATTGGATGAAGGTTCCATCTTGCTGTTGAATTGCTATATGCAAACATGATCAACCAGCATCAGTGGATCCTTTCATCATAGGCCTTCTCAATCTGTCACTGTAATTGCAATAGATACTGTCTAAGCATGGTCGGGTCGTATGAGCTTGCTGGATATCACCATTACTGTCATTATGTGGTGGATTAGCTTGCAGGATATCACCATTACTGTCATTTTGTGGTGGAATGATCAACTAACATCTATTGCCTTTGACATGCTGAAAGGAATTTATTGTAGTTCAAATTGACTGCATTGAAAATGAGACGCCTGCAAGTCATACCAAATGTATGTGTTTGACTATTCTAAGATTAAATGGGTAAAATCAAATGGCAGGTATCATCATTTTTGGTCAACTGATACATAACCATCATATTGGGTTGGGGCACACGAGGCATTCAATTGAAGGATGAGAAAGCAAAACTCTTCACTTTCTTCATTTTACCGTGGGCTCAAGGCAGCTCCCAATCTTTTATACTAAACTGGTTGTGTTGCTCTACATTAAGAAAGTGATATTATGTCATTACTTAGCAGTAGGGTTATACCTTGTGCCATCTATTTTTGTTTATCTGAGAGTTTTGGGTCATATATGTGATATTGGTTGCTATCCTGACATTGGCCAAGAAATAAATAAATTAATGACTTGACAATGCCATCAGTTGAAAGTTTTCACAAATAATGATAGATGTATCTTAGAGATTAAAATGGATGAGACGGGTGCACCAAAAAAGAATTGATGAGATGGTTGTTCCTGGTATTCTTAATCAATTTTTATTTACTATGCTAACCAATTTCCACCTACCCTCTGCGTCACAGTACAAGCTCTTGAAACAATATCCTCAAAGCTACAGAACAGATATTGGAGTGTTCGCCGAAGTTCTTGCAGTGGGGGTGGAGATCTGAATGTGACCTTTACTGATGAATTTTTTAGCAATGTGACTTGCAATTGCTCGTTTAGTGGCGGTACTGTTTGCCATGTCACAAACATGTATGTCCTCTTTTTTCTATCCTCCATCCTTTCCCATTATGTACGTATGCAAATCGAAAGCATCGAGCAAAGAATGAGAAAGTAATTTGGGGATTTATAAAAGTCAAGAAGTGTTTATCAGATGCCAGTGGAATGGAGAAGATATTCAAGTGCAGCTAATTTTGGCATTAGATATTTTAATAATCAAGCTCTTCTAAGTTTCTTGCACTAGCATTTGACACTTGCCAGATATCTTTACCTATAGATGTTTATTAAGACTCCCTTGTTGGAGTAAAAAAGAGAAGGGGACGTAAGCTATACTGTCTCCAGAATGAGCTTTCATTGACTTCTTCGCTTCTGATCAATTTTTCTTCAAAACAATAGCAGGATTGTTTTCAATGGAATTGACTCTTGTTCGTATAGGGTGTCTTGGGTATATCAGCATCGATTATGAGGATAAATATTCCAACATGGTTGAACTTGTTGCACAAGCACACTGATGCAGGACCAAGCTCTAGATAGATCTCATGTTACAGATTTGTCAACGAAAGAGATGATTAAGTGGTTTGAACTTGTCTACTTCTTTTTTGTTAAGAAAGATCTATCAACTTAAATAAGGATAGAAATGGGAATGAGGAGAACTTCAATGTCATCATCAAACTATTCTTTGATGCATAGATAGAAAACTGGTCTCGTCACACATTTGATGCCAAGGCTCTATTAGATTTTCTGGTGCTCAGATGTTTGAGTTCTAAAATACCTTTTGTTTCAGGATAGTTCCCTTGGTGCTTAGTTATTTCTGCTTGAATTGACACTTGACTCATAGTGTGGAGTCTAACTTTTAAAGGTGGGATGCAAATTGCATTATCTAAGTATTAAATCTGTTCGAATGATGCTGTGTGAACTTCTATAGGACATAGAACTGCTACGCCTGAGGACTATGGTAAATCGTTACCTCCATTTGTCTTGCTTCTACAAAATTCAGTTTGTTGCATACTAGCATTTCCGTTGTAATATTAATCCCTATACACTTGACTGCGAGTAATAGTGTGTATCATTGTGACAAATGAGGTAAACATGGCCAATTGGCAATCAATACTTAGGCCTTGTAATACTACTATCCAGTTCCAAAATTTGAAAGCTTGTTGAAAGTTCAATATCCTGTATCCCTTTGACACAGTTATGAAGCCAACTGCCATTTTTATGGAGTCTTGGAAGAATTGTTTAAATGTTCTTGAACTTCTTTAAAGACTCTTTTACCTTAAGTTTATAGCAGACACCTACTTTCCCAAATGAAGTGAAATGTTTTCCCCGGACATACATTTTTTGGGCACACGTTTGGGGTTCACATAATATTCTAGGTATTCTTCTGAGACTGTCATTTCTATATCCCATTATTAATGTTACTCCATTCTTTTTGTTTTTGTTTTGCGTGACTTTACAGCCAGCTAAAGGGTCTTAATTTGACAGGAGTTCTACCAGCAGAATTCTCAAATCTTAGTTATCTGCAAGAAATGTAAGTGGCATTTCGTATGCAGTTGGTTTACCACGTGTACCCAATTGGAAACAAGGCTCAAAATATAGTTGTGGATTTGAAAATAAAGTGGACTATCTTCTTCAGCAGGCCAAAATGTAGTCTATTTGGTTACATTGGAAAAGGGCATTTTGGAATTCTTTTGATGATGCTCATGACTTTTTCAATCACCAACCTGAGTCAACCATTGGACTTGAGGGCATTTTGGAATTTTTGTGATGACGCTTGTGATTTTTTCAATCACCAACCTGAGTCTACCAAGGGCAGAATAGGATTGCAATTGTCTACGAGACATTTAATTACCCTGGAGACCCATTCATGTATTAAGTTTTCATTTATCTGATGATTCTGATCACGATTTACTTATCAGAATATTTTTTTAAAAATAAAAAGTTTCAATCATTCTGACAAAGTGTAATGAAGTGGGAATAGATAGTTGATGTGCAGTATCACTTTGAAAGAATGCATTTTATTCAATGATGACCATTTGAACTAGAAGATTAAGTCAGACTTCTTTTACACAGAGAGCTTTCCCGCAACTACATTAGTGGATCGATACCCACGAATTTAGGCCAGCTTAATCTCACAATTCTGTAAGTTTCTCTTCTTTTAGGTTTTAGGTAGTTTTAGGTATGTGAGGGCCTTTATGATTTAGGTTTTTATACTGGTTGGATACACTTAAGATGTTGGCTTACTGCAGGTCCCTTCTGGGAAATCGCATTGGTGGTTCGATTCCCAAGGAAATAGGTGATATTTCCACACTTGAGCAGCTGTAAGTAAAGGGATATGTGTATTTGTTGGAGCAATGAGTGAAACCTATAATTTTTACATTGCACCCTGTATTATTCAGTGTCTTGGAAGATAATCAGCTTGGAGGATCTCTTCATCGAAACCTTGGAAGTTTGAGCCGCTTGAAGAGACTGTAAGATTACTCAGTCTAGTTTTGTATTCTTAATTAATTATGCCTTTCTTGTTCTGGAACTATCTGCTTAATTATAATGCATGTTGGTAACCACTGGTATGCTTATTTGGTAAAGTCCATTTACTTTTCAGCTCAATGTTGTTTAACTACATATTAATCAAGGATCTGCACGGGTGTGGAATATTTCATAGTCTGGACTGAGGTCATGAAGTCATCCATTTGTTGGTAAAGCAGTCGGTTGATAATTAAGTTCTATCGATGTAAATTTTTGATAGTTAATCACCTAGCCTCACTATGTTTTGCATACTAAACCTTCTTCCCAAATATAAAAGATGCAATTGACTTTTTGTTTTCCTGTGGGTCTTTTTGTTTCCCACTGCTGCTGCTGCCATTTTAAGTCAGTATTATCATATACTAGAGAATTGGTGCTTAAAAAATAATAGTAGGGCAGAGCGCATTATGTGTGTGCTTCTTTATCTTCATCATTTAGCTATTCTATATTAGCGGTTCCATCTTCCTTCATTTAGCAAGATATTCTCCTTATTTTTAGGTGGTAGAGGGAAAAAGAGGATTCAAAATTGAAGACACTAAACATATGAAATATGGCCTTCAATAGAGCAATAGCATGTGATATAATCCAAAAGGAATGAAAACAAAAGTTGTGGTTGGTTGCAGATTTTTGCCCTCTATTTAATTGTGTGGTTGTTTTTCATTTAAGCTTGTGCTAAAAAGGTCATACCTCAGTTGAACATTGCCTTCTGTATTTGAGGCATATATGTACTTTCCTTTTTTCGCATTATAATTTGAGGTCATTCACAACTGTCATTTTTCTGCAGCCTTCTTTCTGCAAACAATTTCACAGGAACGATACCAGAAACATTCGTCAACCTAAAGAATTTAGAAGATTTGTAAGTGATAGTTACAAAACATGTACCATATTCAAGTTTTGAATAGCTCTAAAATCTGCTTACTGCTTGCAGTAGGATAGACGGGAGCACATTAACCGGGAAGATACCTGATTTTATAGGGAACTGGACAAGAATTAATAGACTGTGAGTATTTCTGCATCCATTAGTCACATGAACATTTTTTTAGAGTTTTGAAATTCCTTATGCAACTTATTGTTACCTAATGGCATCTTGACCATATTAACATTGATAAAGGGAAGAAAAGAGAAAGAGAGGTCAAGAATAATGTTTAGAGTAATCCATTCAGTAAATCAATCTTTACACAAATACACAATGTAGGCCCTTATATATTAGGGCAACAAAAGAATGTAAAATACCTAAACTACCCATAATATAAATACTCTAACATCCCCCCTCAAACTCATGATGTGGTAGCATCAACCATCAAGAGTTTGCCAAGGAGAAAACGAAAGCCTGCGATAGTGTGGGATTTGGTGAAGAAATCTGTCAACTGCATAGTAAAAGTAAGATATAGGAGAGATCGTGCCCAACTAAAGATGATGGCGCACAAAGTGACAATCAATCTCTATATGTTTAGTACGCTCATGAAACACCGAGTTGTGAGCAATCTGGATTGCACTGGTGTTATCACAATACATTGGAGTAGGAGTTGTCAAGGAAATGCCAAGATCAGCAAGCAACCAATGCAACTAAACTATCTCTGTTGTGGTAGATGTCATAGCACGATACTCAGCTTCAGCAGAAGAGCGAGCTATAACAGTTTGTTTCTTGCTTTTCCAGGAAATAAGTGAATTACCAAGAAAGAGACAAAAATCAATGGTAGATTTGCGATCCATAGAGTCGCCAGCTCAGTCCACATTAGAGTAAGCACGGAGCCCCAGAGACGAAGAAGAAAATAATAAACTCCGATTTAACGTACCCCGTAGATATCGAAGAATCTGAAGAACAGCAGATCAGTGGAGTGTGGTAAGAGCAACAACAAACTGACTAACCACATGAACCGTATAAGCAATATCTGGACGAGTAACAGTAAGATACACCAAACTCCTAACAATAGTACGATATAGGGGAGGATCTGGCAGGAGAGAACCATCAAAGGAAGTATAACGAACATTAAGCTCCAAGGGTGTGTCAACAGTTCGAGTATCCGATAAGCAAGCTCGTTGAATAACATTTTAGACATATTTTGACTGAGAAAGAAAATAACCCTTGGGAGAGGAACCTCAATTCCTAAGAAATATCGGAGTGGACCTAAATCTTTCATCTCAAAATAATTCTGTAATTGAGTTTTCAACAGCTGAATTCTAGCATTGTCATCACCTTTAATAATTATGTCATCCACATAAAGTAATAAAAGAATGAAACCAAAAGAAGTGGATCGAAAGAAGAGTGTAGAATCATGATCACTAGCACAGAAACCTAAGTCACATATAACTGAAGAAAATTTTGCAAACCATGCTGTCAGGCCCTGTTTAAGACCATATAAAGCCTTGTGAAGTTTGCACACATGACCAGGACTGCAAGGCAACCCAGGAGGAAGAGTCATATAGACCTCCTCAGATAAATTACCATGAAGAAAAACGTTTTTCACATCCATCTGAGAAAGACTCCACTGACGAACAGCTGCAACAGCAATCACTGTGCGAATCGTGGTCATCTTAGCCACTGGAGCAAAGGTCTCATCGTAGTCAAGCCCATACTCTTGAGCAAATTCCTTGACCACTAATCTAGCCTTGTACCTTTACACAAAACCATCAGATTGAGTTTTGATTTTATAAACCCATTTATAACCAATGGGGCGTTTACCAAGAGGTAAAGGCACCAACTCCCAAGCTTGAGTCTTATGAAGCGCAAAAAACTTCTCATCCATAACCTGTTGCCAAAGAGGATCAAGGATAACCTCCTTATAGGAGGTTGGTTCAGACAGAGAATGTATAGAAGTCAGGAAAGAACAAAAATCATAAGAGTAACAAGAGTTGGACCAACCAAACCTGTCAGGACATTTTCAAGTGCGCTGAAAGTAACGAGAAGTGTGATCCACGATGTCAGAAATTGATTGGGAGCCAAGAGGTACAGATGAAGGCACAACATCTGTAAAGGAGATAGTGGGAGTACTGTGAATATAAGTATGCACAATCGGGGGACGGATAACAGACAAATCAGGCAAAGAGGAAGAAAAATAGGAGGGAAGATCAGCCATAATCATATCACCAACATAGGAATCAGGAGAAATATTAGAGGGAAAGGGATCAAGAGAGATAAGATCATATTTAAGCAGAGATGAAGAACTAGATAGAATAGAGAAAAAAAGAATATGCTCTATAAAAATAATATGGCGAGAAACATAGAGTTTTTGTGTATTAGGATCATAACACTGAAATTCCTTTTGTCTCTCATCGTAGCCAAGAAAAACACATAAGGCTGAACGAGCCGAGAGTTTGGTGCGATTAACACTAGGTGGCAGAACAAAACATGTACATCTAAACACACGTAAGGAGAAATAGTCAAGTGTCTTACCCCATAATTTTTCAAAGGTGAGATACCATAATTAAGGATTGTAGGAATGTAATTAATCAGATGAATTGTTGTAAGAACTGTTTCTCCCCAAAAAAAGCTAGGGACATTAGATGACAACAATAGAGAACGAGCTGTTTCAATAATGTGACGATGTTTCTGTTCGGTCACTCCATTCTGAGCAGGTGTGTCAATACAAGAAGATTGAAAAACAGTACCATTAGATTTCAACAAATCATGAAAAGCACTAAAAAAATATTCTCCACCTTGATCACAGTGAAAGTATTTGATGATAGAAGAATATTGGGTACGCACCATAATACAAAAGGTAGTGAAAATGGAAAAGAACTTGGACCTACGTGTCATTAGATACACCTAACAATACCTGGTATGATCATCAATAAAAGAAACATAATATCTAGAACCCCCTTTAGTAACAATAGGAGCTGGTCCCCAAATATCATAATGTACAAGATCAAAAGGTGCAAGAGAACGAGAATTACTTTTATTGAAAGGTAATGCAGTAAATTTTGCCAACTTACAACCACTACAGTCTGAAATATTATGGCACTCTAAACTACCCAAACTAACAGTAGAAGCTAGAAATTTTAAACGAGAATGAGAAATATGACCTAAACGAGAATGCCATAAATAAAAACTAGACGACTTTAGACTCAATTGAAAAGAAGATAAATCAACAGTAGATGCAACAACTTCAGGAAAATGAAGTTCATCCAACATATATAGCCCTCCATTTCTATTGCCTGTCCCAATTAGCTTCTTCGACCGTGGATCCTGCACAACACAACCAGTAGAAGAAAAGTGAACTAAAAATCCCGAATCAAATAACTGACTAATAGATATTAGATTTAAAGTACGTTAAAAGAATATAGTAGACATCAGAAAGTGTAAGCTGGGAAGATACGATAGTTCCAACACTAGCTAAAGGCATTTGGCTGCCATTGGCTGCAAAGACAGATATAGAGGGAGGGGAAACAATAGAAATAAATAAAGAAGAATTACTAGTCATATAATGGGTGGCGCCTGAGTCAAAGACTCAGGCAGTTTGAGATATACCTGAAGGATCTGTAGTAAATGAACCTGTGGAAGGTGAAACTAATAGGGCATAAAGAGAAAGAAGCTTCTGCAACTGATGGAAGTGTCTCATCCACTGGTGAAGCAGCTGCGGTTGTATGACAAACTTTGGGCTTAAATGGCTACTGTAAGGCCCCCTTGGCATTCCTGTTCACCAATTTAAGACATTGAGCCTTCTAGTGACCCTTCTCACGGCAAAAACTACACTCATCTGAAGCAGCTTGACCTCGATATTTAGTCTGTAAGTGAGAAGTCCCTCTGGGTGGTACAACCAATACAGTTTGATTAGGCAATGAAAGAAGACCCTTTCAAGAAAGAATCTTAAGACGAACTTCTTCACCCAAAAGTTCATGCACTATTGCATCAACTGTGGGAAGTGGGAGACGATGGAAAATAGAACCACGAAGGCTCTCAAAGTCATCTCTAAGGGCCATCAAAAACTATACCAACCACTGCTTCTTCCTAAAGGTACAATATACCATATGAGTACTTAATTCAACAGGCTCAGCAAGTGCTAACTGATCCCAAAATCCAGTCATAATTGAATAGAACTCCTGTATGGTTTTATCACCCTGACGTGCAGCTCGAATTTCATGCTCAAGCTGATATCTCTTTGCAAAATTGAACTGAACAAACAATGTAGCTAAATAATTTCAAATCTCTTTGGCTATGTTAAATAGCCAAATGCACACCAATGGTCTGATCAACTGAGTTGTTAATCTAAGTGATGATTTTAGCATTGTTGACTTCCCAAGTATTCTGTAAATCAGCATATTTCTTTGCCTTCGAATCTGTTGGTGCTTGCAAAGCACCACTAACAAAACTCCACATCTCTTTTCCCAACAAAAAAATTTTCATAAACATAAAACCAATATCCATAATTTTCACCATTCAGTCTGATACTAATAGCTTGAAGAGAGTTAGAATGTCCACTTGCCATAATGTTAATAAAACTAAATTGGCAGCAAAAATCTAACAACCCAGCAAATCAATAAACTACCACTTCCCAAATTTAACCACAAAACAGCAATCACAAAATAGTCAATGCACTGTGAAGCCAAGAAGAACAAAATCGAAGAGACCATCGTGAACAAACAGTCGGTGCACTATGAATAGCCAGACATAGCAAATGCACAAAATCAACAAACCAGCACCAAAGAGGAGTAAAAACACACCAAAGAAGATCGAAAACTTCCAGATTTATCGCTGGAAGACCATCGGAACAGTACCCGTTGGCCAAAAAATCACCAAAAATGCATCAACAGCACTCCAAGAAGGTTGGTATGTCAAACCAACCCTCTATTCATCTAATCGGAGCTATCTGTGAAGGATCAAAGCCTCCAATTGCAAGAAAAAAATCCCAAATCTTCATATTTGAAAAAAACTCCCTATTTTCGCTAAAATATTCAAAAATAGAAAACTCCATCCAAATAACTTCAAAATCAAAAACAAATCATACCATTGAAATGCCCATGAAAAATCGAGTCTAGCAGTGCTCTCCTCGACTGCAGTCTGCAGACGTCAGCCCTCTTTCAGAAAATCGGCTTCCTCTAATACTGTGTTCTTCAAAAAATCTGATACTCTGTTCTTCAAAAATTTTAAGTATGTAGAATCGAACAATGCTCTAATACCATGTTAACATTGATAAAGGGAAGAAAAGAGAGAGAGAGGTCAAGAATAATGTTTAGAGTAATCCATTCAGTAAATCAATCTTTACACAAATACACAATGTAGGCCCTTATATATTAGGGCAACAAAAGAATGTAAAATACCTAATCTACCCATACTATAAATACTCTAACATAACATACTTTTTTTGTCAAATTTTTTCCAGGGATCTGCAAGGCACATCAATGGAGGGACCCATTCCTTCTACGATATCCCAGTTGACAAATTTATCTCAGTTGTGAGCACCCACAGACTGTAGCATTACTCTATTTCTGTTTACTAGTTTCCTCGACCGAAAAAAAGAAGATTGTTGATTTATGAATGCTTACTGATTTGAGAATCTGGAAAAATAACGTTCTCTTCTGATGCATTTTGGTTATCAGGAGGGTATCTGATTTGAGTGGATCAAACATGCCTTTTCCTGAATTGCAGTACATGAAAAACATGCAAAGACTGTGAGTTATGGTTCGATTCTATTGGTTCCATGAAAAAATTGAGGGATATAGTTATATGTTTTATGTACCATGAAGATTGGGTTTAACTCTGACTCTATTGACATACCAAGTGGTTTATTTTTGTGGCGCAGGATACTCAGAAATTGCCTAATTGTTGGACCACTACCAGTATACATAGGAGAAATGACTAGACTAAAAACTTTGTAAGTTAATTATAATGAGTATTCTTATGTAATTAGGTGATCTTATTTGTTCATGGTTCATATATTTTTATTTGCAGAGACCTGAGCTTCAACAGGTTGACTGGTCGAATCCCAGATACATTTCAAAGTTTAAATCTAGATCACTTGTACGTATAGTTAGAATAAACTGTATATCTAAGCATATGAAAATGCCTTATGATTTTCGTAATTACTTTCCAATCTCGGGCTGTTTTTTTCCATTATAGTTTACAGTTCTAAGCAATAGCGAGTCACATTATTGTTTGTTGTGTAGGTTTTTGTCTAATAACTCACTAACTGGAGAGGTACCCGNTACTTTCCAATCTCGGGCTGTTTTTTTCCATTATAGTTTACAGTTCTAAGCAATAGCAAGTCACATTATTGTTTGTTGTGTAGGTTTTTGTCTAATAACTCACTAACTGGAGAGGTACCCAGTTGGATATTGAACAGCAACGTGTACATGTTAGTCTTCTCCAAGTTTTGGTAGTTATTGTCTGGCAGAAAAGCTTAAGAAAAAACCATCACACTTTTTCTTCTTGTGATCTCTAATGAAATTTCATCAGGTCAAGCAATTATGATCTAATTTTCAGTTGGGAAATTGATTACAAATGTCATGTGAATATTTACTGCAGTGATGTATCTTACAACAATTTTACACAGTCACCTTCAGTGGGTTGCCAGCCCTCTAGCGTGTAAGCATCTTACCATTATGTGATTATGTATTGATTGGATGGTCATATCTCTTAGAAATCCTTTTCTATCTGACAGGAATTTAGTTTCCAGTCATTCATCTACAGTGAGCAACTCGTAAGTTCCTCACATACCTAAACTCTTATTAATTTTTCAAAAATCCGTCCATTATTTGACGTGGCCTAAAACTTACTTAGAGTTGCATGGTGCTTGCGGAAGGACCTCTCTTGCTCCACGAAACCCCAGCGTAAGTGAAACAACCTATGCGACTTTGCTGCTATCTTGCTGCACTTTCCAATTTGATCCAACCTATGGAGCTTTATGAAAGCATCCTACCTCATGATTCCCATTACTTTTGCAGATCATTCATTGTTCATAAATTGTGGGGGAAGCACAATGAACTTTGAGGGTAATGAATATGAAGAGGACTTAACCACAAGAGGCCCATCATACTTTTTTGCTTCTTCAGAAAAATGGGCTTTCAGCAGCTCAGGGGTCTTCATGGGGAACGACAATGCTAATTACATTGCATCAAATCCTTTTGCATTGAATGTGACTGGTGCAGACTTTTATAAAACAGCCCGCCTTGCCCCTAGTTCACTTAAGTACTATGGCCTCTGCTTGCGGAAGGGTAGTTACAGAGTGCAACTCCACTTTGCTGAAGTAATGTATTCAGATGACAGCACGTTCAGCAGCCTTGGGAGACGCATTTTTGATGTATCAATCCAAGTAAGTAGAAGCCCAATTATGGACTATAGATTTTTGATGACCTTAGCATCATTAGAAAGTTAGTCTCTTGAAAACTTTCTTTCTTTACTTTTTCTTATTCTCCAGCCTTAGTAAGACTATTTTCAATCATTACCCTTTTTTAAACTTTTTTTTAAAAAGGGGTAAAAACTTTTAAAAACCTTCTTCAATACTAGACTCATATCCATATTAAATGGGTGAAAACTTTTAAAAACCTTCTTCAATACTAGACTCATACCCATATTAAATGAAGGGNGGGGTAAAAACTTTTAAAAACCTTCTTCAATACTAGACTCATACCCATATTAAATGAAGGGAAATCTTTTTTTAAGCCCAAATCAAGAGAGACCCATTTTTAAATTTAAATATTTAATGGTGAGATTTCAATAGCCATATTTTACCCTTTTTTAAATTTGGGTTTGTTCTCATTTAAATTTAGGTTTCTCTTCCTTTAAAAAAGGGTTTTCCATTGAAGAGGTGTATACCAAATCAATTTTTTTACCTTTTTTTTTTTACTCAAATTTGGGTCTCCATTGGAGATGCACTAAGAGTTATTAATACTGGCACTTGGTCCAAATATGTTGTCTATACAATTGGACGTNCCTTTTTTTTTTTACTCAAATTTGGGTCTCCATTGGAGATGCACTAAGAGTTATTGATACCGGCACTTGGTCCAAATATGTTGTCTATACAATTGGACGCAGGGGAGTGTAGTTTTGAAGGACTTCAACATTGCGGAAGAAGCTAGTGGCTTTGGGAAGGGCATAACCAAGGAGTTTAATGATACTTTTGTCAATGGGAGCACTCTGGAGATCCATTTGTACTGGGCAGGGAAGGGAACAACAGCTATTCCTGACAGAGGTGTATATGGACCTCTTATATCAGCTATCACAGTAACACCAAGTCAGTCTATCTTGTATTTTGGGTGCTTAGATTTTCCAAATTTGGCCTTGTCATGAGAGTATATCTATCTCTTCTTGTAGATTTTGATCCTGATACAGGGCTTCTTTCTGTTGGAGCTATTATTGGCATAGTGATTGCTTCATGTGTGCTCCTCTTGTTGATTTTAGCTGTACTCCGAAAGAAAGGGTACCTAGGAGGGAAAGACATTGTAGATGAAGGTAAAGTATTCTACGAAGAAATTGTGTCTCTGTAGTTCATTTTGTTGCTACTTTTGCGTGGTGTGGCCACTAATTTTGAAAGGGCTCAGATACTTGAGCTGCTAGAAGGTATGATGTTAATACATTTATCTAGGAAAGGGAACATAGTTTGTCCGTGCAGGCACTTATAAGCACATTATCTTGAGAGAGAAGGAAGAGAGGGGTGAGCTGCAGAGACGATGGTCAGCTTCTCAAAATTATTCTAGCTGGAATGCTTAATTATCAAACTAAGGATAATATTGATTAGCAATGAGATAAATGTTGCCACAACTGGATGTTTCATTTGCATGACAAAAATATGCCTGGTATCCATTCCCACCTGTATAATCAGTGATGATAAATTAAGTATATTCACTTGACCAGCTGATACCCTAAGAATAAGTCTGCAGACTAGAATGGAAAGCTGTATCCCATGGTCTGAAATGGGTCATATTATGGTTTATAAATCTTTTGAATGGTGAAAAAGAGAATTACTCAGGTTAATATTGTACGAGCAGTATTTAATTTCAGTGAATTTTGAGCAGTTTCTAATCACTTTCCTTGTTACAGAGCTTCGAGGGCTAGAGTTACAAACAGGTTATTTTACTCTAAGACAGATCAAGGCTGCCACTAATAACTTCGACCATGCAAATAAGATTGGTGAAGGAGGGTTCGGGCCTGTTTACAAGGTAGTAACTTGCAGATGCAACATGTTACTTTCACCTTAGATGCTCAAGCTGTTAACACTGTTACTTTCAGCGTTAGGACCATTTCTCTGCTTGGGTATCCATGTGAAAATGGTGCTCAAAAAGATAATATTTGCACGCAGTCATTTAATTGTCTATGATTCTTTTCCCAGAAAATAAGCATTATGAAATTTGTTCTTCTTCTCATAGGGTGTACTACCAGATGGTGCGGTAATTGCTGTTAAGCAGCTCTCCTCCAAATCTAAGCAAGGAAACCGCGAGTTTGTGAATGAGATAGGCATGATTTCTGCTTTGCAGCATCCAAATCTTGTGAGGCTTTACGGGTGTTGTATTGAAGGGAACCAATTGTTGCTAATATATGAGTACTTGGAAAACAATTGTCTTGCTCGTGCACTTTTTGGTAAGTGTTACTTGTTTGTTCCACTTTATCCCTTTAAACATTGATTTATGGTTTGTCNATATGAGTACTTGGAAAACAATTGTCTTGCTCGTGCACTTTTTGGTAAGTGTTACTTTTTTGTTCCACTTTATCCCTTTAAACATTGATTTATGGTTTGTCTCTCTTCTGATCTTTAATTTATAGGTCATGAAGAACAGCGGCTAAATCTAGACTGGCCAACAAGAAAGAAGATATGCATAGGAATAGCAAGAGGCTTGGCATACCTTCATGAGGAATCAAGATTGAAGATTGTTCATCGAGACATCAAGGGTACCAATGTACTGCTTGATAAAGATCTAAATGCTAAGATATCAGATTTTGGTTTGGCTAAGCTTGATGAAGAAGAGAATACCCATATCAGCACACGAATTGCTGGAACAATGTGAGCTTTTCCTTTTCCCTTCTTCGATGTGCATCCCTCCTTATAACCTGTCTGCATATAATAGTAACAAATTAACATTATTTTTGAAATCAGAAGCATATTCAGTTTCAGATTTAAATAATTTGTAATATACAGTAGAAAACGAGTGATGCAGAACATGGTTAATTGAGTCCACTGTATCACAAACTTTTCAGAGCCTATACAATCCCAGAACAGTTTATGTATCATGCGATTATGTGCTGGTAATGTGGCATCGTCGACTTTACCAAAATAAAAAGGAGACTGCAATGCATNACGAGTGATGCAGAACATGGTTAATTGAGTCCACTGTATCACAAACTTTTCAGAGCCTATACAATCCCAGAACAGTTTATGTATCATGCGATTATGTGCTGGTAATGTGGCATCGTCGACTTTACAATCTATATCTAGTGCTCTTTTCCAAAATAAAAAGGAGACTGCAATGCATGATATACCAATGATGGCATCATAGTTAATTTCACTTTCTGTTTCAGTTTTTTCTCATTTTGTGAATAACCAGCTATAAATTATTGGTCTCCTAAAACATGTTGCTTGAAGGCTTTGAAAATTAAAAGTGGGAGTAAGTTTAACTCATCCTACTTGTGGTGAATTAAAATGGGCTTTGAAACANGTTTCAGTTTTTTCTCATTTTGTGAATAACCAGCTATAAATTATTGGTCTCCTAAAATGTGTTGCTTGAAGGCTTTGAAAATTAAAAGTGGGAGTAAGTTTAACTCATCCTACTTGTGGTGAATTAAAATGGGCTTTGAAACAGTGGACAAAGAAATTGTATGCGCATTCCAATTGTAATCAGTGTTGTTAGGTAAAACTGATTGCTGATATATATTGTAGCATAGAAGAAATAGTAAGAACTGTATCTCTCACATATGAAAATTCCATCCGAGTCTGGAAAAATATAGCAGTTGATCTTAATTAAGAGAAAATGAGAAAGATTTCTAGGGTGCAACTTGCCTCCTCTGGAAAAATAACTAATGAATGAATCACAACCGCTACCTACTAATCAGATTTGAAAATTCTTGAGGTTCGTCCTGATTGTCTACCATTCAAACTGAACAAGCGATTGCAACTTATTTTATTATGTGATGGTTCCCATTACTGGTGCATACTAGTACTGCTGTAATATCTCATGTGTATTTTTTCCCAGAGGATATATGGCTCCTGAATATGCAATGAGAGGTTACTTGACATACAAAGCGGATGTTTACAGCTTTGGAGTTGTTGCACTAGAGATTGTAAGCGGTAAAAGTAATACAAATTACAGACCGAAGGAGGAGTTCGTTTACCTTCTTGATTGGGTAATATACTTTCTTGAGAATTTCACAAGGTCTTGCCATTCTTTTTTTTGTCTATGCTGCTCTGAAAAATCATGGCCAAACCATAATGCATCGCTTAAAATATACTTTTTTTATTTACATTGAATGGTATTTTGTGAATTATGAATTGGAGGATGAATAGTTTTCATCTAAATAGTTCAAATGAAAGAACAAACTCTGGGGATGCAATATTTTCAGGTTCAGATCTTCTGATGAAGTTTCACTTTGTAATAAAAAACCAGTTTTTCTTTAATACAAAAGAATAGTAAGTGGAATAAAATGATTCACTCTCATCGGTTTTTTTACANTTTCATTGAAAGAACTGCGCTTGAAGGCAAAATTCCGGTCGAACCGCCACAAATCAAGCGCAGTTCTTTCAATGAAAATTTGAGGTTCAAAGCTTTCGAGAAGTTATCACAGGACGGCCAAACACACGTCTCGACGTTCTCTCAGGATAGTCAGGTCCCGAGGAGCTCATCGATGGATGGGCCATGGATTGATTCCTCAATTTCTATCCAAAGTATGGATGATAGCAGAGATTATTCATCAGCAAGCAAGCTTCTTCCGGATAGTGATTAATGTAAACAGCCCCCAC